AACACCGACAAGAATATACCGATCAGAATTGCGAATGTTTTCCCGAATTGTGTCAAGATTCAAAAAGGTGACAAGATAGCCATCTGCGCACCTGTAAGAAGTGTCACCCGATGTGATGAAGTGTCGTCAGCTGTTACACAAATGGCATCCAAAGAAACACTAAAACATCTAGAACAGCCATGCGATCACCTAACATCTGAGGAGAAACAGAAGGCTAAGCAGTTCCTGCGAAAGCATGGCGGTATTTTTGAGAAAAATAACAGTGGAAGAACGGATTTTGTGAAGCACCGGATTAATACTGGTCATGCTCAGCCGATTCGACAACGTCCTAGAAGGGTGCCTCTTTCCAAACAACAAGAAATGGAGACAATGGTAGATAAGATGTTAGAAGATGGAGTAATCGAAGAATCATCAAGTCCATGGTCATCTCCTGTTGTTTTGGTGACGAAAAAAGATGGTAGTACACGATTCTGCTTGGACTATCGGAAGCTCAATGACGTCACTTAGAAGGATAGCTACCCACTGCCACGTATAGATGACACGCTAACCACACTGGCAGGTTCGTGCTGGTTCTCCACTCTCGACTTAAAGAGTGGATACTGGCAAGTTGGTCTGGACGAGGAAGACAAAGAAAAGACGGCTTTTTCTACAGGAAACGGACTATACCAATTCAAGGTCATGCTGTTTGGATTATGCAATGCTCCAGCCACTTTCGAACGTCTCATGGAGGTGGTGTTAAGAGGATTAACTTGGAAAACGTGCTTGGTTTACCTCGACGATGTATTGGTTATGGGAAGAACTTTTGAAGAGCATTTGCGAAATTTAGAAGATGTCTTCGGCCGCATACGGAATGCTCACCTGTACTTGAACCCGAAGAAGTGTAGTTTATTCCAGCGACAAGTGGAATTCTTGGGTCATGTAGTCTCAGCAGACGGAATTTACACCGACCAGAAGAAAATCGCTGCAATCAAGGATTGGCCTAAACTCGCGACAAACATGAACTTAGAAGTTTTCTGGGTTTATGCACCTATTACAGAAGATTTGTCAAGGGATTTGCCAATATAGCTGCACCCTTACATAGACTTACAGGTGATGAAGTCGGCTACGAATGGAACACCGATTGTGATGTAGCCTTTGGAAGACTTAAGGCGGCTTTATGTTCAAGTCCTATTCTAGCCTACCCGCAACAACAAGGGAGGTATATCCTGGATACCGACGCCAGCAATATCGGCATAGGTGCAGTGCTATCACAAGTGCAAGATGGCGAAGAACGAGTGATAGAATATTACAGTCGAGTTCTATCCAAACCAGAAAGGAATTACTGCGTTACCCGGAAGGAGCTGCTAGCAATTGTGAAGGCAGTTGATCATTTTCATAAATATCTGTACGGCCAAGAATTTTTAATTAGGACAGATCATGCGGCTCTCAAGTGGCTTATGGAGATGAAACAACCTGAAGGTCAAATAGCACGATGGCTCGAGAAGCTCCAACAGTATCACTTTACCATCCAACATCGTCTGGAAAAATGCATGGTAACGCAGACGGTTTATCCAGAAGACCCTGTCAAACCGATTGTAAGCACTGCTGTAAAAGGGAACAACGTGAAGACACTGTCATGATAAGGAGTTTTAAACTTGGAACCGATGAACAGTGGACGACGGCACAATTGAGGAAAGATCAAATGGAAGATCCAGACATCGGAGCAATACTACGGCTCAAGGAAGGTAACGGCGAGAGACCACCGTGGCAGGATATTGCGGACAGAGGGCTGGTTTTCAAAGCTCTCTGGGCTCAGTGGAATTCACGGGTGATTGAGAATGGATTGTTAAAGCGCACGTGGGAAAGTGCAGATGGCAGGACAGTAACAACTCAGTTACTGGTACCAAGGAAGAAAGTTACCCAGGTATTGGAAGAAATTCACGGTGGTAAAACTGGAGCCCATCTTGGAGTAAACAAGACCTTGAGCAAGCTGAGAGATCGTTTTTACTGGGTGGATTATTGCGAAGATGTCAAGAAATGGTGTCGACAATGTAAAACTTGTGCAGCCAGCCAAGGACCAAGCACTCGATCTAGGGGAAAAATGAAACAATATAACGTGGGACTTCCATTCGAAAGAATTGCTGTTGACATTGCAGGCCCATTCCCTGAAACGCACAAGGGCAACAAGTACGTTTTAGTGGAGATGGATTATTTCAGTAAATGGCCAGAAGTTTTTGCCATTCCAAACCAAGAAGCATCGACTGTAGCTGAAGTATTAGTCAATAATGTCTTCAGTAGATTTGGAATTCCCTTAGAGCTTCACACTGATCAAGGAAGGAACTTCGAGTCAAGACTGTTTAAATAAAAAGAAAATTACAGAATTCTTTAGAAAATTCCAGAAACCATCTCCAGCGGGTATATAAGGCCCGCGCTTTGACAGTTGGACCAGTCTGAAGATAGTCTGAAGTCTGAAGTTTGATAATACCGCGAAATACCGTTAGAGTAATAGTAGTTGCATAAATTGTGTTGTAAATAGTATAAGTTGTGTGTACAGAGTGAGACAAATAAATTCGTTAAGTATTTTATGGTGAGTTTAAATAGTGGACCCACGGAATCCGTAACAGTATATTTATTCTTTCATATTTTTAATGCCCCTTCTATAATAATTAATTATTTGTTGCTACAAAATATTTTTGTTTCAAATATAGATTTTTATTTTTATTTCTATATCATGGTTCTGAAAATAAAAATATATAAATCAATGTAAGTAGAACGCGTTCTTATGAGTTTAAAAGCTCAACAGCCGATAGAAACATATATTTTTAGTTAAAAACGCTATTACTAGCCAACATGGCGGAATTTTAATTCATTATTTTATAAAGTTGACATGGGGTCGGACACAAATCATCTACATTATATCATATTTATGTCGAGAGAAACTGTTTAAGAGAGAATCTCGTGTTTCGAAAATGAATTGGTAATAAATGGAAACTTTGTTTCCAAAATGTTTCGATTTAGCGCTATCACTAGCCAACATGGCGGAATTTTAATTCATTAATTTATAAAATTGACATGGAGTCGGACACAAATCATCTACATTATATCATATTTGTGTCGAGAGAAACTGTTTATCTCGTGTTTCGAAAATGAATTGGCAGTAAATGGAAACCTTGTTTCCAAAATGTTTCGATTTAGCGTTATATGTTTAGAAATGTTGAACTAGTCACCTGTCAACAACGCTAATCAAAATTTCTGGTCAGAATAATTAAAACATTTTTATTTATTATAATACAATTATTAAAACATAAAAACATGTATTCCATTGTGGAAAAAAGAAAAAAAAACGTTTGCTGGTAATATTTTTCTTCGGTCTCTTGTTCCAAATCATCTCTGTAATGCGTATAATAAATTATTATAAAATCGCATAAGACAAATATCTGTTTTTGTACTCACCATATGTCCTTCCTTCTGCTTTTTTAATTATAGTGCTATAAAACTTGAAGAATGCTTAAATGCAAAAACTGCAGAACAAAATCCAAACAATAAAGTAAGGTTACGTTCTCATATTTTCCAGAATATCAAATAAATTATGGAAACTTTTCAGGCACAAAACGGGTACAAAATCTGTAAATGTGAGCCACATCTGTTTCTTAAAAGTTTGTGACACTAAGATCTTTATTGTCATAGTTTACATAGCGAAACCATATTTTGTTAAAATGTTTCGAAACAAAAAGCGATTTATGTTACAAAACATATGTATCAAAAAAGTGACGAAACTGTTTCGCAATGTTTGTTAGCAGAGATTTTGTTTCAATTTAGTGTCTAAAAATGCTACTTGGGAAGGGACTGTAGACCTGAGTATATGGTATTAATTTCAACTCGATATCTCCACGCGTTCCCGAGATAATAAAGGGTATATACAGACAGACGGACAACAAAGTGATCCTATAAGGGTTCCGTTTTTTTCTTTTTGAGGTACGGAACCCTAAAAAGGGCCATTCTTGTGAAAATATCCTTATTTCGGCAGAATGGTATATTATAGTTTTTATAATACTTTTTTTGTTATTATTTTTGTTTATTAACTAATAAATTTTGCTATATATTTTTAAAATTAACCTATATTCTCTATTATATTTCATGTTTACGTAAAAGTTATACAGGGTGTTTAAAAAAAACATTTCTATATAAAGACACTAGGATAATTGTCAAATAATAAAGGACAACATTGCTGAACACGGCGCAATGTGACCAACATAGCGATAATAAAATTCTGTTTAAACTATTTTTTGCAGCTTTAATCTAAATAAAATATCTGTTACAGTTCGTCTGCTGGATCTGTGTCTATGAAAGGAATGCGGACAAAAAATATTTAAATAAACAGCAATATATTTTATACGTCGACTTGACGAGTACGTCACCGCAAATTGCCCCGCCCACTCATTTTATAGGCTAGTTGCAAATTTGTCGAATTTTTATTGATGGGACGCGTCGTCTAATTTTTTACGAAAAACATCGAGAGAATATCGTTTCCCCTCTCACAGATACCCCGTAGTCACAGAACGGACAGACGTACTGTACAATCATTTGCTCTATAAGAGCTGCTCGGTATCGGTGTAAATTATACAACAAATTTAAACACTTTTGCCAAAATTTCATTTAGTCAGGTTTATAGATTTTAGTGTCAATGTTGATATGATTGATGACATACATCGGAAAATGTTTTGCGATTACAATATGTTGATATGAAAAATAAATCTTATTTTTACGTGGGGAATCTCCGCACGAGAGATGGCACATGTTTTTTGAAACACCCTTTATAAATATGTGTCAGTATTATTCATGAAACTGCTCGGTTACTTCTGTTGCCGGCGCTCCTGCGTCCGTATTGGTTGACTCAAAATCTGGTCACTCTAATCGTAATCTTAGATCAAAACAGGGGTAGATATGTGAGGTTAAAATTTAGGGAAACTATAAAGTTACAAGACAATATGTATGTATATAATATTTAAACATTTTATTAGGACGCATGAACCGCAGAAAAAGGTCTATAGATGTTCTACATGTAGCTACAATACGACACGTAAGCCAGTTCTTGAAAACCACAAGATAAGTCACTTGACACGAGAAGAACGACAGATGTTTGCTTGTGCGCATTGCGACAATGAATACAGATCGAAAATCAGCTTAAGATACCACCTTCAGAAAAATCATATTGATTCCAGGTAAATTTATTTTTGTTTAAGAATTATACATAGATCATAATATATACTTTCGTGGATGTAAAGCTATAAGAACCTTCCAACTATAGCGTTAACATATAGGCGATTCCGTCTTATTTTTTTTACAAAAGTCTTGTTAATTTTAGTTATCTGTGAATTATAACAGAGGAACCTTGTTTTGTAGAGTTAAAAGACGAAGAGTTAGAACGGGGGAATTGAACGAATCGCAGAAAGAGGTCTATATATGTACAATATGTGGCTATAAAACACGATATAGGATAAATCTTAGACATCACAAGAAAACTCACTTGGCGCCGGAACAACGACAGTTATTCAGTTGTGCGCAGTGTGATAACACATATAGAACAAAGACAGGCTTAAAATACCACGTTACGAATACTCATATTGATTCCAGGTAAATATATTGTTAGCATAAGAATTATATCTAAATTATACAGGGTGTCTTAAGCACTTAGCATGCATTAGAAGTTTCTAGAGAACTACAATATCTAGATCAGAGATTTTTTGCACATTATTGTTTTTACGAGATCTGTTGTGACGGCACTTCCGGAAATACCAGAAGTTGACAGCAACTTTCTTATTTGAAATGGGTACCCCTATTGTTTATTACATACTTAAATTCTCTGTAAAATTTTATGAATTTTGATATCAAACATTCTATACCTAAAATTAACCGTTTTTGAGAAAAAAATATTTAAAATTTTCGGAGGAAAAAACTGCCTGTCAAAAAAATCCGTATAGCCTAAACGACAGATTTAGTGATTACCGCAGCCACTGTGGCATAAAGAGAAGACATGTGGCTATCTATTTCAAAAATTAAATTGTTCGAATTTCATAGAAAATTGGCCGTGGCTGTCATGAAATTGAGCCATTGACAAATTATCATAAATAATTTTTTTCAAATGAAAACCCACTTTTTTTTATTTCACTAGTGAAAAGGGTTTTCAATTCATTACTTTTTGATTATACATGTTCTTATACCTAATAGCTGCCGCGGTTAATCCAAAAAAAGAGTAGAATTCGGCAAATTAGTCTAAAAGCACCAAATTTTGCAGGGACATTTTTAAGGGCATTCTAAGGGATGCCCTTAAAATTTAGTTATAATCTATATATCTGTTTTAAACGATCTATAGGTCGTTTTTGACTAATCTGGAGCTGAAAAAAAACATAAAAATATAAATTTTTTCATGCTGATGCAAGTTTAGTGAAAAAGTCTATATACAGGATAGTCAAAAATGACTTATATGCAAATAAAGTCCAAACAAAAAATATTTCAACTTTTATATTTTTTGTCATGCAGATATTTTTTTTAAAATCGCTTTATATTAACTGATATGATTAACTGGCTCTCTCTCTCTCTACTCGGCTTGCCTGTCAATATAGCTGTAGCGGTTAATCCAGTCATTCGGCAAATTGATCCAAAAGCATGAAATTTGGTACACACGTATTTTTAGTGATTCTGAGATTTTTGACCCGGAGGGTAAGGCCATTTTTTGAGTTTGACTCAAAATGGCGCCTTATTTTCAAAATGGCCGATTAACAATTTGTAATTGTTAGTTATTAACAGATTTTAGCATAATATATGTCGATTTCGACAATTTTTTCTGGCGTGCAATTCCTTAAAACAACTCTTTTTTGAGTGCAATGTTAATTTATATGATAAATTTGTGTACAGGGTGGTTAAAAGCGAATACGTAAGAATAAATTAGTTAATAAATCATTAGAATATTTATGTTAGATTATTTACTACTTATTTATACATGTATCCTTACACTTGTACTGTAATGTGCAAGTCAGTCCTGCGCGCCGGCATGAGCAACGTTGCGAATCACAGCCTGATTTACATCCGCACCTTTCTAGCTCTATTTGCGTTGCTGGCGAAAAATCTTGTAAAATCATGGGATATTTTGGTTCAAACTGTTGACACTGATGTTGATTTGTGCGTGTCTTCTTTTTATGAGCTCCAGGCTATGGGTTTAGAAGAATTATGTATTTTATTTGGGTCGGGAAAGAGTCGACGTTACATTACAGCTTACAAAATCATAAAAAGGTGTCTTAATTTTTTTAAGGTCATAGTCTCACATGGAAAGCCAAAACACACAAAAGTACTTCGATTAGTACTTTTGTATAGGGGTAAATTATTTTGATCCTAATATACATATGTGGATTATTTAAAATAGAGCAGTAAAAATTACATTTAGTTTTAACTCGCCTGGTATATACTCTGAAACATGCTTTACATATACATTTTTCAAGACTGTTTTTTTGTGAAAATATATCCAATTAAAAAATTTAAACAATCTACTGCTTTATAATTATGACGGAGCTTTAAGTGTACAGAAAATTTAGTCTTTGAATGCTCGTATTTCGAAAACCACTAAATATCGATTATGGCATTCTGGTATTTTTGGAATAGGGATTTTAGCAATTTATTTAAAAAACTAAAAACGCCCTGTATATATATTAGTATTTTTAACATGAGCGCTCTCTTTGCTCGCATATTTTGTGAAGAAGGTTGTAGAAAAAATCTCTATCAGAAATCATTATATGGGACTTTTTCGGGACAGACTATAATATTAAGCAATTATTTTATTAGAATGCAGAAAAATGTCTATAGATGTTCCACATGTAGCTTCCAAACACAAGAAAAATCAAGACTTAGACAACACGAGGAAGTTCACTTGGCACCGGAAGAACGACAGTTGTTTGGTTGTGCACACTGTGATAAGAAATATAAAATAAAACGTAGCTTAAAAGATCATCTTCGGGATAACCATATTGATGCCAGGTAAATTTATTATTGTTAGCGCAATAATTGTACCTAAATTAGAGATGTATCCGCTTAAACAAGTAAAGCTGTGTTGATTTGTAGTTGTATTCAGATATTTTAAATGGGTTTTCTTTGTTCTTTAAGTTTTTTCCTTCAGACGACGAGAGGACATATGCCTTCTAAAACTTTAAGCATTTTTTGTCGGTTAGGCAAATTTGTTTTATTAGTAAAATACTTAGATCTTATAAACTTCGTGGATAAGTAAATTCGCTTCATTTTTGTTGGAGACACGTCAGCGACATTCTACTATCTGATTATCTTTGTCTTTGACACTGACTGACCAATCGTCTGTCTTTTTTTTTGTATATATGTCATGTTTATATCATAAAATAGAAAATATAAATATATAAATTAGAGAAAATAATATTGTTATTCGGATATTGATTATTTATTGGATAATATTGACTAGTATATTAATTATTTAAAGAAAAAAAAATAAAGGTACATTACCGAATAATGTTTAAAGTGATTTAAGTTACCTAACATTGTATATATGTTACGGATAATATGCGAAATTAGCTAATTTGCGAATTAACCGGTTAAAACGCGAATTATCTAAAAGCGATGGATAAAACCCGAATCTGTCATAGTTTCGCGTATTATCCATTGCAAACAGATTAAAACGCGAATTACCCAAGAGCAACCGTATGAAGCGATTCTTGTTTTAGTTTTATATCCTTTGTCAACATGGATAGTGATATAGAAAGTTTAAACAAGTTAAAGATACGTTTTAATAAAGAATTTTTTAAAATCGCAGTTACGAAAAGTGCTAATACCGGCTATTTAAACAGTGATGGTTATAAGAATATAATTGAATGTATTAAGCAGGCAAAAAATACAGTCTCCAAAATTTCTAAACAATATAGGGTGGCTGCAACGACCTCCCGTAATCCAGCTGTTAAAATATAACAATAAAATTGTTTTTTATATGTAAAAACCAGTTGTTATTTTTTAACAGCAGGATTATGGGACGTCGTTGCAGCAACCCGTAGTCGTTAAAACGTTATGATGTGTGTACCATAGGCGGCGTGGAAAAATTAATTTCTCCCATAAAACCAAATGAACAAGACTTTAAATATTATGTGACAATTGAGGACATTTTTGATAATATTCATGAAACTCATTTAGCTAATGGACATGGAGGCCGCAATAGAATGGTTGAGGAGCTAAAAAATATATAAAAATATTACTTGTGATATTACGAAGTGTGTCCATTTATCTTAGCTTATGCACATCATCTAATGAAACAAAAATGCATGAAAAAGGGATAATCGGATCTTTTCCCAATCGGAAATGAACAGTCGAGTAGATTCAATCGACGGGCAGTCGAATCCTGATGGCCCGTATAAATTCATATTAGTCTATCAGGACTACTTAACTAAGTTTGTACAATTGAGACTAAAATCGAAAACAGCTAATGAAGCGACCTCAACCTCAACCATAATAGATATATTTTGTATATTCGGTGCACCACTGATCCTTCACGTTTATAGAGTAAATGCTGTTTGTATTTTTTTGTAAATAAATGTTTATGTAATAAAATTGCATCTCATTTCTTGCACACGTGCAATGTGATATTAATTGTTCACATAACATATTATCCGGCTAATTCGCGAAATAGCCATTAACCCATATAACCAGTCATATTGTATAATTCGCGTTCTAACAGAATAATTTGCGAACATTTTTAAAATATATTTGTTTCTTTTAGCTTTAACCGACTGTGATGGTTAATTCGCAATTTAACCGGTTAATTCGCTAATTAACTAATTTCGCGTATTACCCGTAGCATATATACTATATTTCACTGAATAAAAGTCGGTTTAAAAAACGATTTTAAATAGCACATATCTTGTTTTTTGAAAATATGGATTCAGAGGTTTTTATACTTTTAATATTGTGGAGTTTTTTTAAGGATATTATTTTTCCTATTATCCCATATAACTCTTTTGTTAGTCACAATGTCTATTTATCCACTAATTTATCAAAATCCAACTAAATTCTATGTGTTGTCCATTCATCACAGCTATTTTTCAAGGTAGTATTTTAAAACATTTTTAATAAAGAATTTATCTTATTATTTATTATATGATTTAATTTTTGTTTAAGATTTATATAAAAAGTATATTGAAATAATATGACAAATATTTTCACTAGTAATACCACTAGAGGTCAAATTATTTCCGGAAATTTTTTCGAGCTCATGAATATTTTGAAAATTACCCCGAGTCGAAGACGAGGGATAATTTTCTAAAAATATTCATGAGCGAGAAAAAATGTCCGGATTTAATTTGTCCTCGTGTGGTATTCGGTAAGAAAATTCCACACCAAATTGTGTTTGAAAATCAAATAATTAAAATGTATTTTTCGATTTTTGGTCGAATTGATTATTTAGTTACTATGACAACTAAGTGGCACCCAAAACCTAAAAACTATTTCAGTTTTGCAGATGTCAAGCGGCACGGCTTAAAAAATGTTTTGCTTCGGTCATGAAAGCAAAGAAAATATTCACCAGGAGATTAAGCAGTTGACACCCGCGAATACTAGGAAATCGAAGTCAAGCGTATGGAAGCAGTTTAAAAACTTTCATCTCAGCTTTGTAGTTGAAATGTATCAAAAAAGTAAACAAATAAAAACCAGACTCTCAAAAAGATATTCTGTCATTATAAACGTCAAAAAATTTCCAGTATAATTCGCTGTTGGGTGCCCACAAGGAAAAAATTTTCACTAAAATTTATCCGTTGCCATGGTGATTTGTCAAAAAAACACGTTTTGATTGGTTAAAAATTACAGGTGTGGAATTTTCAAAATAATAAATACACGATATTATATATAATAATGGTCGATATTTTTAATAATTGTTGTCAACGCAACGAAAAACGCTCCAAGTTAGCATTCACGTCTAATATCGTTCTGCGCATGCTCAGTAGCATGTTCAGAGAGAAGGATAGGCTTATACGATAATCTTGTTCTAGAAATAAATAAATAGAAATATGCATGTGAAAGTCCCGTAAACAAAGTCTAGATATTTTTATGAAACTTGGTCCACGTTTTATATGCAGCAAAACGTCTTTTTGATGTCCAAACAAAATTATTTATTTCAACTAGTGGCGTCCGCACGGGTTTTATATAGAATATATTTCTAGAAAAATGATACGGCCACTGACTTATCTTAAAATAAAAATAATTTTCTAAATAACTATTTATTTCTAAACAATTTTTGTCTTTTCATTATTTTCGTTGGACTCATAGTTTTTTTAGAATCAAATTTAATAAAGGCATTTAACATCAGAATTATAATAAAAAAATATTTTTTTTGAAAAATTTACCACTCTGTATCTTAATAATTAAGATGTTTAATATATACATGTTTATTTTATGCCACACCCTAATGTGTAGAAAAACTTTAATTTGTGAAAAGCATATTCAAGTACAGGGTGAGTCAACGATAGAGTAAAGTCCATTATCTCATTTGTTTAGAGGTTTACAAAAAAAGGTTAAATACAAAAGTTATAGGGAAGATTAAGATTTTTTTATTAGATTAACACATTTTAAAATTATTATAGAGTATACAGGATGCTTCAAAAAAGTGTGGCGAATATAACATATGTTTTCTTAAATGCAACACCCTATTTTTTATTTTATTTTTAGATTCTGCGTAAAATTCCATAACTTTTTTTATATATAATGTTATATACCTAAAATTAATAGTTTTTGTAATGTAGTAGTTTAGGCTTTCGCGGCCATCGTTTGAAGAAATTTGTTTTTTCGGGTTATTAGGCAGTCGTCGGTTAGAATTGCTTCCTAACGTTTCGCTAGCACGAGTGGCTAGCATCCTCAGAGGTGTGTTTGCTCCGACTGCTCACATTATCAGTCAGTGTGAGCACATCAGTCTAGTGTGAGCAGTCGGAGCAAACACACCTCTAAGGATGCTAGCCACTCGTGCTAGCGAAACGTTAGGAAGCAATTCTAACCGACAACGGCCTAATAACCCAAAAAAAACCAAATTTCTTCAGTTTTTGTGATATTTAAATTTGTTTAAACAAATGTTAAATTGCAGTGTGGTAAAAAATTGTCAGCGGTACCAGTGTTTCTGAAGTTGGAATACCAAAATTTGGTATGAGAGTTTTATAGAGATGAAAAAAAAAGATATATGTAAAGATATTTTAGTTAAATGCTACAGGGTGTTCAAATTATATTTACAAATTTTTTAAATAGTACACCCTATATATTTTCATTTTTCCTGATAGATTTTGCAAATCTCTTCAACTTTTATTAAGTATGTCATATACCTATTTTTAATATTTTGCGATTTATTCCAATTTTTTCTATTATTACCCATATCAAAGAATATCTTAATACCCTAGAAGTCTCGTCTCGCATCAAAATCTGACCTGTCGATGGGGCCTCGCTTTGGCGAGCGAGGCCCCAACTTCGTGGGGCCTCGCTATTTTGCTCGGAATTGAACGAACAGACGAGCGGCGTTGCCTTGTTTTGTATGTACTTTCTTGAATAGTTTTAAATTATAGTTTTAAATTTCATCTATTGCTATAATCAGTCTTTCCGCTCTCCGCACTCCGCAGTTTTCATATAATATTATCTATATAATTCTCGTGTTACAGTTTTGGGTGGTTTTGGTTACCGTACTTCTCCGAAACGGCTTAACCGATTTTGATAAAATTTTATATGTATATTCAGTACGTCTAAGAATAGGTTGTTATCTATTTTTATACCCTTAACTGATAAGGGTAGCTGAGAGGGTAGCCCACCCTCATTTTTTTAGTTTTTGAAAAGAAAAAAAATGTTTTTATTTTTTTATTTGGCATTAAGAAATACAAACAACCCTAAATTTTCACCGTTCTGCTATCATCCCCTATTTTTAATAGGGGTTGTTTTTATATTTTTTTTGTTGCCATCTCCGAAACGGCTTAGCCGATTTTGATGAAATTTTATATGTA